GTGGCTTTTAACATAACAAAATCATGAAAAATGGCATTTTCTCCAAACAGTGCAAATGTGTGCGAATGCTTCTCCAACAGATACGTTAGAAATGTCATGTATCATACTTATCTTAAAATCGTACTTATCATCTGAAAAAGGTATAAATATGTTTACACTATCTGTTTCTTACTGCTTCAAAATTACTGACCATCAATTTTTATCCTGACTTCAAAACCTCTAAAAGCCAATTCAAGTTTGGGAAGCATGTTTACACCACTTATAGACATACGTCAAACAAAACAAGACCATAAACACAAAGGCAATGGACGCCACAAAACAATCAACATTTAAAACATGTACAACACCTACATTTTACATTCACCCTCGAAACTGTAAGACCAGTAATCATCACCAGTCATTCATCATCAGTCATTCATCACTAGTCATTCATCACCAGTCATTCATCACCAGTCATTCATCACCAGCAGTCATTCATCATCGACCCTCCAATCGAAGATGAATAAAATCCACGTAGATTTTCGAAGACGAATAAAATCCACGTAGATTTTCGAAAGACGAATATAATCCACGTAGAAATCTAAAGAGAACGCTCCATACCTCTGACGTGGACGATGTCTGCGATGTTGCCGCTAGTGGCGCTGTACCGGATGCCGGTCTTCCTTGCTGCCAGCATGGCACCGCGAGGTCTCGCTGCCCGGGAGTGAAGCATTGAACCCCGCACGCTCCCAAAGGCAAGGAAGTACTGTCTGTTGGAAGCAGTAGCAGTGTCCTATACAAAATCTCTCTCTCTCTTGCTCGCTCGCTCTCTATCTCTCTCTCTCTCTCTCTCTCTCTCTCTCTCTCTCTCTCTCTCGCACGCACGCACGCACGCACGCACACAATACTTTTTATATATGTACATTATGTGTAATTGCTTGTGTTAATTGTGTTATATACATTATATGTAGTGGAAATAGCGTACGTAGATTATATGTTTGCGATAGATGCGTGCGTGCGTGCGTGCGTGCACGTGCGTGCGTGTGTATACATATGCATAGTGTCAAGAGCTAATAATACCTAGGTATTATTAGTTCTTGATAGTGTACAAGTGTATTCATGTTAGTACTTACATGCTTTCAGAGAAGCAGGATAAGAAGCTGTTTCGAGCCCTGCACTGTGCATGCCAGAGTGGGAGCGCTCCAGTCATCACCAGGCTCATTGCTGCCGGGGCAAACTGCAATGCCAGAGCTTTTGGAGGAACAACGCCTCTACACATCACGGTGGGTTTCATGGTCGATATACGGCAGGGGAAAAATATCATTTTTTTCAGGGGAGCTCTTTTTAAAAAGTCTGTGGAAAAAATGGCTCTCGTCAAAAATTTTACGGGAGCTATTTTGAGCCTCACTGGAGCGATTTCGGAGGTTTGAAGAGCGAATTGCTCATCACTCCCGTGTATTTTTTACCCTGATATACGGTTAACCTCAGCCTTTCTGCTGACGGTATGTTGTGCGTGCATATAAGTGCTGTCGTCTGCATACACATATTCCTCTCGTCCAGTATTTTTAACGCCGACTGACGTTATGTCATCGTAGAATAATTTTATGTGTGTAACCTTTATATTCGTTGCATTTAGATTACTTATTGATCTGTATTGCACGGTTTAACCTTCCATCTACCGATTGTTTAGTGTCGATTCTCTGCGTGTTTTGGTTACTGATTAACATTATCAACCGATTCTAGGCATATAGCTTCCGTCTACTGATTGTTTAGTGTCGATTCTCTGTGTGTTCTTGGTTACTCATTAACATTATCAACTGTTTTTAGGCATATAGCGGTCATGCAAAGTTCGCAGAACTGCTGCTAGAGGCGCGTGCTGATCCATGGCTGTGGATTCTCGTGGTCTCGCACCGGCTGATGTTGCCAAGTCGAAGAGAGTTAGGAACCTGCTAAGGTCTGCGTGGCAAGAGCCAGGCAGCAGATACTGGAGCAGCAAGAGAGGCTTTCACCACTGAAGACAACAGCGAGATTCGGTAAGTCGAGAGTTGGAGCGAGAGTCCGGCGCGAGAGGGAAAGTCGGAGCGAGAGTCTGGCGAGAGTCGGAAGACCCCCGAGCCCAATCCTAGTTTAGCACCCCGGATTAGTTTAGAACATGATATGCGAACTATATATCCCGGGGTCCCAAACTATAGGATTCAGCAAGTCCCTGTGTGCATTATTCATGCATCGCTATAGGCTTGTGTTCAGAATACCATCTCAACACGGTTTTATCACAAAACTCCTCTATTCATCAGACAAAACAAAACAAAACTCCGTGGTTTTGGTTTCAGTTCTCTATTCCGGAACTAACGGTTGACTACAGTACTCATGTAAAGTATCGAATAGTATCATGATAGCTACTGACTTACTGATTACTGAAGCCAATGAATTGGGTGACGAATGCATTTACTTGCTTGTTGAAATGGCGGAAACAGAAGGATTGTGTTGCTTTGTTATGTACATTTCAGCAGGAAAGTCTGAGTTGATGCCCAATACTGCAATACGCCGCAAAACAAGGTAAATTTCTCATCGGTTAGTCTCGTGCAGTTCTGTTCAATTTCACATTGTACTATTATAATTACAAGTGCACGTGCTATATATGCCATTTTATCTCCTTTATTCATTCCCATTCCAGCATTACTCCTCTCTGGCAAAGGGTTAATTCTGTTGTATCAATGCTAATCTCCCTATCTAGCAGCCTCACCACATCAAAAAAGAAGATAAAATGGATGTACAATGTGTTAGCAAACTTGAAGTAAATATCAACTTAAATATAATATTTTTTATAATATGGAAAGCATATAAGTTTTGAAAAATAGCTATATGAAACCTACATTTAGGGCTAGTTGCTGCCTATCAGAATCCTGCGTCCTTGGAAGATGGTACTGACTCTGATGCAAAGGTGCCTGACTCTGACTGGATCAGTGATGATTCACAAAGTGGTATGCACTGCTTATTACACCAACGAGTAATAGAGATGAAATTGCTACTACACCACGTAGTAAAAAATGTGCGAAAATGGCCAAATGATTTCTTGTATACCGTCAAAAGTTGTTTCACTCAAACAAGCTGCCTTCAAGATGTGTTTGTACGTTTGTGCTTGGCTTTAACAGTTGACCATTTAATTAATGTCTTTTAACCAGATCGACTGTACCAA